TTATGCACAAACAATGAATCATGGAACACTGCATCAAAAACTAATGATGTAATGTATGGTGGTTAACATAACAATAAAAATTTATTAAAAAAAAATCATTAATTAAACCCCCCCCCCCAAAAAAAGTACTATAAACACTTTTAGGTCAATAAATTAATTTATATAAGAGATGAAAACTTTTCTAAAAAAAATTCATTAATAAAATAGATTCAAGAAATAAAAAACTGTAAGAGATGTATAACTGTTAAAGAAACTGAAGCATTAGTTTAAATTCTGTTTAAAAAGAATCAGGTCCAGAAATCTGAGTAAAGTAACTAAAACCTAAGTAAGCAAAACCTTTAAGATTTCACAAGCATTTTGATAAATATAATCATATTAATATTTTAAAAATTTGTAAAATAAAAGAAACCATAAAGTTAAAAACGTACAAGAGAGACAACAAATTTCTTGAAATGCATGCCTGTTTCTAGCTCCTAATATATTCTTTTAGATTATCTTCCAATTCCTCAGTGGCAACTAACTGTAACTTCCTGGCACAGAAACTTTGGAATTCAATCATTTAACTTTTATGAGGATACAGTTCTGAACCTTTCTCTGTACTATTATCTAAATCTTTATGAAAGAAAACAAACGAATATTAGCCCCTGGGTTAGCCTTATACTTAGCACATTGTAGGTAGTCGATACATATGCTATCAAAAGAATAAATATATACTACAAAAATCTAGTACATATAAATTGGTATCCATTGAATATATAGCAACTACTAGGATAAAATAATAAAAATTACTGCTATGCAGTTTTTAATTCTCAAAATTCCCAGATTTGAAAGCATACCCATAGTGATGTATTTTTCCTTGTATAAGGAATGGTGCTGAAAGATCAAGGACTTCCAAGTCTTCATGGCCAGATCTCACAGGAATTACACTATGAAACTTGTTTGCAAGTTTGTAGATTTCACCGAGTGTACCTCCTATTAACAAAGAATAAATAAATCCTTCAAGTAGTACAAATATAATGAAGGCAAGATTGAGTGTCTATTAAGTAACACATGACGTATAGTAAAAGACTAAAGGGACTGAAAGAAAAAGACAATGAAGGCATGAATTTAGATGATTAATATATTTATACATTTATTGTAAGATATAATAATCTGTAAACTTAGTATCCTGCCCTGATTTAAGAAACCACTGATAAAAATGCTGAGAATTAAGCAAATTACAAGGCTTGTGAAATTTTAACCATTTTCCTAAATTTTTATACAAATTGCTCTTTTATGCCAGAACACTTGGGTTAAGTATTCAAATGAAAATAAAATTGAAAGGCAAAGTATAACAGGATTCTCATTATTAAATTTGCTATACACACTAATAATGTCTAGGTAAATGTAGTCTTGAGTTTGAAATAAATCTTTTACACTTTCAGGTCAACTTTATATTTAAATACAGATGCAAAGAGTTTGGATAACAATAATTCATGAATGGTGTTTGTTCGTTTTTCCTGAAAAATCCTTAATACTTCCAATTCTATGACAAAGTGGCCATTAAAAGCTGTCACGCGGGCTGAGAAGAAAGAGGATGCCCAGTGGTGCGCTACTACCAGAAGGCAGTACTCTCTCTAATCACTCAAACCTACTGTACCTTTTCTGGTGTATTTTTCACCTAGATTGGTAATTCTTCCTCTCCAAGGAAAGAGACTATGACTTATAAAAATACTTTTGTGTACTTCCTAAAATTTGTAATGTTAAACTCAATTGTGAGGGGGAGCACTTCCAGCACAGCAGAGTAAGGACGTCCAAAAATACACTGCTCCATAAAAGGAAAAAGAACATTGGCCAAAACTGTCAAATTTGACTTTTTCGGAACTCTAGAAATTAACCAAAGTCTTGAAACAATCCAAGGAGTATTTATTCAGGAAAAGGAGATAAATCTTGGTAAGGACAGCAACTTGCCTGGGTCCTGTTCCTCTTTGCAGAACTTTGTGGAAACCACAGCTCTGCCATGTCATACTGCAGTTGGATCCTAGCTCTGATTAGGGTTATAATACTCAGAAATATGATAAAATAAAAATAGCTTGCATTTCGATGGAACACTTTTAAATTTTAAAGTGCTTTCAGATATATTTTCATTGACTTTCATTAAAAAGTGTTATTACTCTGGATATACTTATTTACTTAATATATATTTACTGAGAACCAGTTGCATGCCTGTTGTCCTACCCTAGGTGCTGAAATATAGATTAAAATAAACATGTATCCTGCGCTTTAGGGCAGTTACATTCTAATAAGCAAACAAGTCTATAAACAGACAGATATAATGCAAATATAATACAAGAAGAAAAGTGATCTACTGAAAGTTCATATGCTATGCAATAAGAACCACTCAAATCTGCCTGGTGAATCAGAAGACTGCTTGGTATGTGTAGATGCTCATTAAATATTTCACATGAATTGCTGAGTAAAGGGAATTACTGAGTTACTTATGAACATGTAGTAGAGCAAAAATTCTCAGAATAGCAACGGAATGGCAAAGAGGCACAGAGAAATATCCTGGGTTTAGGATAGATATTTCTGCCACCAGTTTGATATGGCTGGAGGGTGGAATGAGAATTGAGAAATTGTAGGAGATGAGATTGAAAGTTTGTGGGATGAGTGGTAACTAAAGATAGGATCAGGAGCTAAAGGTACTTTCTTCACGGTTCTTTTGAACCCTTAAGTTTAATTTGACTATAGCACAGAACTGTGGGAGGCCATGTAACATAGGAAAACTCTATACTTGATATCTTCTTAGCTGGCCCTACAAGGACAGTTCTTACAGAACCTAATAGGTCCAGGGCTTTATTTTATTTTTAGGGCATACAAATAGTCTTACTCCATTTTTTGTGTGTGCATGTATCTGCGTGTTTTGTTTTTATATCTATTTCCTGGTAGAGATTAAAATATTGCTAATGGAATAAGATACCACATTTTACTCACCAAGGTGGACAGATTTCCTTAAGTGCTAGTATATGATGATGAGGATGGGAGAACAGATAATCTCATATGCTACTAAAGCATATGAATACTCTGACAGCTTTATTGGAAAGTAATTGGGCGACATTTACTTAATTCCTTGTGCCCCCTAACTACACTTCATCCAGAGGGAAGATAAAGTTCACTGTAGAGTTACTATGTCAAAAAAACAAAACAAAACAGGGAACAATTCAGTTCCACTTCTACCTGTACTGGGAAAGACCTACAACTTCTCTATGATTCAGTTTTCTCATGTATAAAAAACAGCTTATAATAGTACTAACTGAATAGGATTATTGTGATGATTACACAGAAATGAAAATCATTTCTGATAAATCATAAATGTGTTAAAATAAAAGATGTTCATGAAAATACCAATGGTAATATTCATGTGTATTCATATACATATGTGTGTGTGTGTATATATATATATATACACACACATACACTAAAACAATTACTTATTACTTTTATAAACAGAAAAATATGAGTAATAAAAATGATCATAATCTACTGTAATAAAGATCAGTTCATTTACAAAATGAAACTAAAGATTTCTCTGCAAATTAAAGATGATGTTCTACTTTTATTATGGAATGTTCTCAAGGAAGAAAAGTCTCAAGGAAAATAATGAAACTTTAAATTTGGCATGGGAAAAAATATGTGGTATATATATATGATATAAACATCAAATTAAAATTAGACAAAAGTGGAAAGGAAATGCAAAAATAAATATGACTCAGTTTCATTCTTTTAAGACATATGTCGAGTTATCTTCACTTGTTTCAGGGGTCCCTTCCTTGACTTACATATCAGTAGATGACTTTCATTCTACTTTTATGGAACAACAGTGACATCCAGAGGCCAAGACAGCAGCAAGTATACCTGACAATCAAGTATCCTCTTGATTAATACTCAGCTCCACAATGAGCTTGAATCTCATTAAGATTTATATCCAAAATCCAAGATGGACAAATGCAAACACTTGAGTTCAATGTGTAACTTTAAAATGTCATTCAGATTTATGTATGTGTATATGTATATATTTAAATCTACCTGTTATATACAATATATTCCATTTTATGGAAGTTAAAATAACATTTTGACTTTATATGTCCTAGGTTGCCCCTAAAATATATTTAACAATCATTAATCAGAGAAAGACATAAGCAAAAGCTGTATTCTAGTAAAACAGTAACTAAAATACCTTCTATCAAAATCAGACAGTCATTTGAAAGTGGAAGAATACCATTATTTTTTACAAAATGAACAGCAACTTTTCGTTCTCCTTGATCTGTAGTGGTCCACATTTTCGAATCATAAAATGATGTATTTTGTAGTTTGATATCTGGGGTTTTACTTGCACCCTCTTGTAAAATTGTATCCAAATCACCCTCATGTGGAACTTCTTGCCTAAAATCATCGATAATGAAATACAAAACAATTGGTATAAGCTTAGAAAATCAAATTTAACAAATTATCCAATTTAAAAAAATTGTTTATATGCTGATGAGCCAGCTACTTATTTTAAAATATGGAGATAGTTCACTTTCCAGATTAAATGACTCTTATTCAACAAAAACGGTATTTGATGATACTTCATGACTAAGTAGATCCATATCATAATTAAATATTAACGGCCACGAATTTCCTTATCTGGTTTTGTGATACCAAGGATCTTATAACTATTTCTAGCACCAATTAATTCTCCTCTTGTATAGAATGTTAAGCTTCTCTGTGGGGAAAAATAGCTGCCCACTCAATATTCACTTACCACCTAAGTAATCCCCCTTTCATAGGGGACCTAATTTACAAATCAACATTCTCTTCGATTACTTTTAACTTAGAATAATAATTTTAAAAAGTCACCTGGTAAAGTATGTATACAATAGAAATGGCATCTGGAATCAAAAGGTCTATGTCCTTATTCTGGTTCTGTCCCCAACCAGCTGTGTAACTTTAGGTAACACCTCTTAACCTTTCTGAGATGATTTTATTTGTTTAAAACAAGTGCTCAGAGAGGATGGCTTTGTTTGGCAAAGCTATATGACTTAAGAGAATTTGACAAACTGTAATTTATTTATTTATTTTTAAAGATTTTATTTATTTATTTGAGAGAGAGAGAGAGAGAAACAGCATGAGAGGGGAGAAGGTCAGAGGGAGAAGCAGCCTCCCCGCTGAGCCGGGAGCCTGATGTGGGACTCGATCCCAGGACTCCGGGATCATGACCTGAGCCGAAGGCAGTCGCTTAACCAACTGAGCCACCCAGGCGCCCGACAACTGTAATTTAATAATACTTCAGCAAGTACCTAAAATCTGTATTTATATTTTAATTCCAACTACCATTTTAAGCTCAAATGGGTAGCAGATGGTCCCCCATTTTATTTAAGGTTTGATGATAAAAATCTCTACAAACAGTATTATACTCAGATTTTGGAGGGCAAAATATACATATATTAGTATTAATGTATACACAGATGTGCACACACAAATAAGTACTTTAAAATGGAAATGTACTTTATTTACACATTATATATTTATAGGAAAGACAAACTGTATAAAAAAGGAAAAGATTAAAAATAATTTCAGAGTATGTCTTGAGCTAATAATAAGTACATATTCATTCTAATGTCTTATAAATTTATTTATATATGTAATAATTGATGTTTGGAATAAAGTCTGATGCACTGAGAATTCTCAATGATTAATAAAAACTTAAATTATATTTACTATATTATAAGACAGAAATATTGCCAACAAGGCTTTCTCTATCACTTACTTAGAAATTTCATCCAGGGGCACCTGGGTGGCTCAGATGCTTAAGCATCTGCCATCGGCTCAGGTCGTGATCTCCAGGTCCTGGGATCGAGCCCCACATCGGTCTCCCAGCTCAGCAGGGAGTCTGCTTCTCCCTCTCACCCTGTCTGTGCTCTCTCTACCTCTCTCTTTCTCTCAAATGAATAAATAAAATCTTAAAAAAAAATTTCATCTAACCAGAATTCTCTATTTAAAAATTTTAGTTATTAAAGGTTAAGAAGTTTTTTTGTGAAGAGAAAGTCTCCCCAAATATATATATATATATTTTAAGATTTTATTTATTTACTTGAGAGAGAAAGAGGGAGAAGCAGACCCCCCTGCTGAGCAGAGAGCCCAACACAGGACTCGATCCCAAGACCCTGAGATTATGACCCGAGCCGAAGGCAGACACTTAACCAACTGAGCCACCCAGGCGTCCCTCCTCAAATATTTTTATAGTTTATTAATTTTTTGCATGTATCAGAGCTACTAAATTGAATTTCAGATTGCAAAAAAGCACCTACTTATCATTACTAAGAAATATCAGAACGATTTCCTAAGACTTTAGTATTTTCTCTTAAAAACATTACCACTGGAGCACTGGGTGTTATACACAAACAATGAATCATGGAACACTACATCAAAAACTAATGATGTAATGTATAGTGATTAACATAATAAAAAAAAAAAAAGCTACCACAGTTTCAAAATACAATATACAAAGTCATAATTTACTCATTGCCAGGACTTAAACTGATATATATGAAAACATATATTCATAAACATTATGAAATAGAAACTTCTGTTTTATTATGGAAAATACTTACAGTGCATGACATTTAGGACAATGAAGTTTAACAGACTGAAAGAGTATTCTGGGCTTATATGACCTTAATTTTGCTCGAATACGATACTGTTGAGGAGCTTTTTGTTTCAAAATAGCACATATTGGGGTTTTCTCCAAATACTGATGATCTGTAAGTACTAAAAAGAATTTTTAGATTAGAATAATCTATAAGAATAATAAGAATATGCATAATATGAACTCCCCCAAACCAGATACAGAATTGAATTATTTAAGTTATACTGTCAGCTTTGTTAATATTTTGCCACATTTTTCATCAACATGTCTTTAGCTCTCTCTCCATATATATCTCCTTACAGATTCATATATATGAATCATTTGAGAATAATATCCAGATATCATGCTCCTTTATCCCTAAATATTTCAGTGTGTATTTCACAAGAAATTTCATTGACCTATTTCAGTGCAATTTTCAACTTCAGAACCTGTAATATTGATGTAAAATTATCATTGAATCAACAGACATTATTCAAATTTCTCCAACTGTCCCCCCCCCATAATGTTCTTATTCAGAATTTTATTTTCAGGTCCAGAATCCAATCCTGAACCATGTATTGCATTTATTTTTCCTGTCTCTTTGGACTCCTTTAATGTAGAATGGTCCCTCAGCTTTTCTTTATCTTTCATGACATTGATAATATTTGAGGAGTAGAGGCCATTTATTTGGGTGTGTCTGGTTCTGCTCATGATCAGATACAGATCATGCATTTTTGGCAGTATGCTATACAATAAGTGATACAATTGTCCTTCTCTGTATCATATTAAGAGGCATATATGGAATCAATGTTTTCACTCCCGGGAATGGCAACTGCTCAGTTGGTTATGGTGGTACTCAACAGGTCTCTCCACTATAACTTTATTATTTTCCCCTTTATAATAAGAAAGTACTTGGAGAAATATAAATATCCCACTCCTCAGTAAACATTTAGGATCCTGATAGTTTAGGACCTACTGATGATTTACAACTAAATCAATTATTATCATGGTTGCAAAATGATTTTATTCCCTAACTTCATCATTCCTTCTACATTTACTAGTCATTATTCTATTATAACTGAGAGCTTTCCATTTAATTTCATTTATTTATTCATTCATTTGTTATTTTATTTACTACCCACATGGACCAATGGATTCCTACTTTATTGTTTTATTCCATCGCTAGTATTTTTTATTTTGATGCTCAAATTGTATCAAATTTGACATGCTCCATTATTAACTCAGAACTTCTTTACCTTCTGTCACAAGATGTTCCAGACTCCTCTTGTAATTCTCCTGTTCCAATCCTGGAGTCTGCTATTTCTATAAGCAGCCCTGACTCCTTTTAAGGGGGAATATTATTTATAAGCCAAGATTTGTGCACCAGGTGCATTCATTGCTACTGGGCCGTGCCATTATTTCAAAGCCCTTTAACTGGACAGAGATAGGGTATATATGCACACATGTTCATACCTATAGTTACACACATGCACCTATACATGTATGAATATGTATTTGAATGAATACATGTATACAAAGACCTATCTGCATCTACTTCTGTATCTGTCTATAAAACCATGAGTATACACTGACACTTCCTATTCCAATAAGACCACAAGCTTCTTTCTTCGAGCTGTCCCCCATTTCATAATTATATGTTCTTTCTCAAATAATGACTCATATTTTTATAAGAATATATTACAGAATTTATTCATTTAATAGACTTGTGCTTAAAAATATTTTTTCTTAAATTTTTTTATCTTAGCTGAAGTAACAGAAAGAGGGCATCTGACAGATTTACTATCACTGCTAACATTAAAGTTTTGGGGTATATTGTAAGGAGCTCCTTTATGGGCACACAGCTAAGGGCACAGTGTGAACAGATAAAAATTATGTCATATAAGATATTTTATGTTCTCAAAATAAGCCCCATTGCACTGTTAAATAGAATATGTTTTATGAATCTTACATATATGTGACTTAATTATATAGTCTATGTAAAAACATGTATCTTTCTGGGTTCCATTTTATGCCACTTAGGATGAGGGAGAGAAATAAAATATAAATAGGGCTATATTTTTGCTCTCATGGATATATGCTCTCAAAATTAGATAGGAACAAATTAGTTGGTAACGACAGACTTTATTATGCACACTATTACACCCACATTTCAAAAATGAAACATGGTCTTACTTGTAGCTGATAGTTGCTGACATCTTTCTACCTCATATAGTGATACTGATCCAGAGCCTACAGGAAGAAGGGAAGAAGAATTATACAGTTTTAAAATCCATTAAAAATCCCATGTGGCATTGAAAACTATAAAACATTGCTGACAGGAACTGAAGAAAATCTAAATAAGAGTAAATTTACTATGCTCACGGACTGGAAGGTTCAAAACTGTTAAGATATCAATTCTCCCCAAATTGATCTGTAGATTCAATACAATCCTAATCAAAATTGAGGAGGCTTTATTGCAGAAAAAGACGAGATTCTATCACTTAAGTGAATATGTGAAGAACCTGGAATATAAAATATAATCCTGAAAAAGGAACAAAACTGGAGGCTTTATACTACCTGACTTCAAGACTTATTATAAAGCTGTAATAATCAAGGCAATATGATACTGGCATAAAGACTGACAAACCTATCAACAGAATTATAAAAAAAGCCTAGAAATAAACCTGCATTTCATTTTTGATAAAGGTGGCAAAGCAATCCAAAGGGAGAGCAAAACTCTGGTACTGCAACAACTGGAAATTAGTATGAGGAAAAAAAATGCTTACCTCACACCATACTACTAAGTATTTCTGGCTGGAAAGCCCAGAAATAAATCCACATTTATACCCACTTGGTTTTTGACAGACACCCAAGTCATCTTACAGAAAGGAAACTAATGGTGCTTCAATGACTAGAAATTCATACTGAAAAAAATGTCTACCTCATACCATACTACTAGGAATTAAAAAGGAACTACTAATATATGCAATATGGATGAATTTCAAAAGCATATAGTACATAAAAGAGTACATAATACATTATTCCATTTATTTGAAGTTCTGGAAGAGGCACAATTATCTATGGTGGAAAAAATCAGAATTTATGGGGCTGGAGTGGGGGTCAGGATTGACTGGGAAGGAGCATGAGGGAACCTCCTTCAACAAGGGTGATGTTTTAGGTTTTTAAAGGGATCTAAGTTACACGGGTTTATATATTAGCCAAAGCACATGGAATGGTACACTTAACTTGTCCATTTCACTGCATATAACTTTACACAAAAATTTAAAAAATCCTCAACAAATATTGAATTCTAGTTAATGATATTCCTTCTGAAGTATTTAGGAGGTGTATTTATGTCTGCAACTTACTGTGAAATACATCAAAATATAAGATGGGCTGATGGAGTAAAAGACAGAGAGAAGTATATGACAGCAAAGAGAATCCAGGTAGTAGGTATATGAGTGTTCATTATACAACTGTTTCAATTTTTCTGTATGTTTGAAAATTTTTATTATTTTGGAAAAAACACATTGTAAAAGAAACAAAGGGAGAAGTAGATAAGATAATAAACTTACTAAATTGAATAGGATGACTTGATGAACACTTAACATAGGATTTTACTTTAACAAGAAAGTAGAAGTAGTGAATATAGTAATAAGTTTTAATGGTGCTTTCTAAAATGAAGAATTTGAGACTAAAAAAGTATCCATATTTTGCAATTACTTTGGCTGACATTCTATTACATACAGTAGTATAGTATGTTTTTATAATTTATTTTATGTGGCATCATATACAAACGTATGAAACTGCCCTTCTTCCTCAACATCACTAATAAATGGCATAAGAATCCATGACAAGAGAACTTGAACGGACAACTTAAGCTGGCAAAGTATAATTTCAATGAATCTGATTACTTAATATCAGCCATTCTGCATTAAGTGAAAACAATGGCAATAAAAGCAGTCAAATGAAAAGAAAATCAGTGTAAAATATATACATGGTCTCCCACAAACTGATATAAAAAAAAGAGGTTAAAAAATCCAGCAGAAAATGAGGTAAAGGGTAAGAACAGACAATTCAAAGAAGAGGAAGTAAAAAGGGTTGATAAATATATAATATTTTCAGGTTTCCAAGTACTCAAGGAAACTAAGTAAGATATCACTTTATACCTGCCAAACTGTCAAAATTTACACATAGTGGTAACCTCCAATACCACTGAGAGTGTGAGGAAAGGACATTTTCCTACACTGCTATTTGCCTATGAATCCTAGGACATTCTGTCATATAATCTGATAGCATCTATTAAAATAAAAGATGTGCTTACGCTTTGATTTATCAACCCCTCTTTTAGGAGTTTATTTTAGAGAAAGAAAAGCAGGAATGTACAATTGTTCAAGGATGGTTTTTAAAGCATTATTTGTTAAGAGCAAACAACAGGAAACAACCTGAATGTCTATCAAATGGAAAATAGCTGGATTTATAATGTTAGATTCACATTATAAAATATTGTGTACTATTAAAAGAATGAGTTTGAGTAACATGGATTAGCCCATAAAAAGATCTATGATCCACTGATAAAGAAAGCAACCGTATAGTATAGTCCCATTCTGTAATTTAAGTAGGCTCCATGCCCAGCATGGAGTCCAACGCAGGGCTTGAACTCACAACCCTAAGATCAAGGCCTGAGCTGAAATCAAGAGTTGGACACTCAACCAACTGAGCTACACAAGCGCTCCATTTTGATAAATATTTTAAACAGATGGGAAAGTCAGGTCTGTCTATGTACAGGTATATATATTTGTATAAACATGAAAGTGTTGAAGAAACCACACTAAATTTAACATTACCTCAGGAGTGGGCACAAGGGCATGGGGAAGCTGTGTAACTTGATACCATGACATGTATTAACCTTATAATTTAAAAACAATTTAAAAATCTTTGTAAAAGGAGAAAAGAGATTTCAAAAAGTATAATTACAAATTATGCTGTCCACAAATGACTGTCAAAAATTGAAGTAAATTGGCCTGCTAATGGTATTTTAAGTAATCACAGCTCAGACTAAAATGACATCACCAAGGTGCTAGGAAATGTGGAGAGTTTTAAGGCAGAGAGAATAAAGAAATAAACTTAAAATACGTAAAAAAAAAAAAAAAATCAAACTGTACTTGAACCTGACTGACTTTGCCATTAGTTAATAGCTAATAATCTGGGTGAATTACATGACCCCTATCACTCAAAGCCTCAGTTTCCTTTCTGTAAAAGGGACAAAATAATTTCAACCTCAAAGGAGTGCTGTTAGGATTAGGCACTTAGTACCTAAACCAAGCAATACATGTTAATTTTAATGCTTATCATTACTGGTATAGAAAGAGAAAATACTCTTAAAATAGCTTATATCATAAGGGAAGGAGTTACATTGAAAAAATAACTATGGGATAAAAACATGACATAGATTCTAGGCCCCAGAAAGTACCAGCAGATATTAAAGCAAAATGGTAAAGGAGAAAATTTGTAAGATTTAAATTTAGATTTGAATAGTCACCTATTCAGGCAGGCAATAATATAAATACAGAACTAAGTGTTTAAGATCTTATAACTAGGAACTTGATGAACTTGATAAAGACTGAGAACCAGGTGTATTTCTAAAATATGTATGATCAAAAAATAATCTAGTTCTTTGAAATAAAGCAACAAAAACAACCATTGTTCATTTTAGAAACTGACAAGCAAAGTGGTTGCCTAGGAAATACAGAATTTTAATGAATATATACACATACACACATGTATACATATATACACACAATGTAAACACACATACATAAATACTAAATATATCACAAATCAAGTAATCCCTACCATTCCAATTTGAAAATGCAATTATACAATTCAGGGAGAAATAATGTTTACCTTTATATAGGTATAGGACACATATAGATTTGGCCTGTTCCTTTACAATGAATATGGATTTAACAAAAAAAGAGAGGCAGAGATGGGAAGATATTAAAAAAGAGAACTAATACTGATAAAGCCATTTCAGTTAGCAAAGACTAAATTGTTAACATTAAAAACTGTCCTTACTTGAAAGAGTCCGAAAGCTGTCCTCATGCTCTGAATGACATATACCATCAAAACACTGATTGGCTGTCAAATCGGCAGATTCTAAAACCCTATAATTGAAAGAATGTAATTTCAAATCTAATTGCACAAAACCAAGTCAGTATGATCAGTTTAGTTCTATCCTTAGAAACCAAGAAATCACTGAAATTGTATAAAAATTATGTTGTGTGTGTAATGGCTCTCCTCAGATGGTCTGGAGGTTCTAAGGTACCCCAAATTTAAAAAACCAGATTCTAGAAAGATATGAGTAAAACAGTAGGACAATGAAATGCTGCAAACAAAAATAAACTGGGAATTTAATGATGGCATTCTGTCAGAACAATCTCATTCTAGTCCAAAAGTGAAATACTATGCTCTATATAAGTGGATTCCAGAGTCCAAAAGTGAAATACTATGCTCTATATAAGACATTTGAGGAATAAAGAAGTAAAACTGATACAAGATTATTAAAATAGCTTATTTAATTGGTTTTAAAAGTCATGCTGATTTCAATATATTCAAACGTAAAAATATTATTTCATTTCAACTTACTGAATGGGTTTATTTTCTAGAGCTCTTTGAAGATACGCAGAAGATTTATTTTTACTTCTTTAGATTACTGGTGAAAAAGTTTCTGTACACAGTGAGCCCTGGAGACACTTCACAAAAAAGAGAACTGCCTACGTAGCAGGACTTAAGGTACTATTCACTTTCTGGGCACATCTAAAAGTTTTTAAAATATGATACGCCAAAACACTTCTGTTACGTATTTTATCAGTCACAGGCACTTTAAAGAGGTATTTTTTCAGGATTAAGTATGTTTGGAATTCTAGATATGTATCAAGTTTTCCAAACTTTAGCTAAACTCCAGGTTCAACTGTTTGTTGGTGTACTTGGGAGATGTGCCAAATGGCGGAAGAAGAGCAGGAGCACAGAGTAGACCTAAGCGCACAACTATTGGAAACCTTAGACTACACCCTTAGCTCTGCTACTATTTAGCTACTTGAACCTACAGTCGCTTGATTTGTTTCATTTGGTTCATCTATTTAAAGAAATGGATAGTTGGCACAGGTTATGAAGATCAATTACAAAGAGCTTACTGGATCCATCCACTCCAGTCCAGAACAATAGTATCTTGGAAATCAGCTTAATTAATACCTTATTTACAATTTCTAAATAGGCATATAATTTGCTTACTTTTTCAGTTGATCCACATCAGAGTTACTTTCTGGCAAGACTCTGATTCCCCGGCCGTAACTGGTACCCCCATGGAGATGAAACTCTAGAGCTAACAATGTTGCCTGGTTCTCCGAATTCACTGACTGAAGTTTCGTATGGAGGCTATAAATTCTAAGAAAGCTTCCAACCTAAAAATATATTATTTATTATTTAGAAAATGAAGAAAAATCAAACAATTTCTGATACATAAAATACTTAAGCAATATAGGGCATAAGACCAACAATCAGGGGTGCTGACTAATCAGAAAGTATCCTGGTATGTTTTACTGGTGTGTCCTGGGCATCAGCCCAAAGGACACTATATCAAAACCAAAACATGTGTTTTTGTGTGTGCACATGTGTGTATACATATAAATGTACATGGGGATGTGTGTGTATATGCATGTATATATGTATGTTTACATATAACCATGTACATACATCTACATATAATATGTAAGTGCATGTATATATGCACATATATGTATGTATCCATCTGTAAATTTTTTTTAAATGGAAGACATATTTCCATGTCAGAGATATTAAAGCGTGAAATAAGATTGAGTCTTAGCATTGATAAAATGAAGTAGTTAAGAAACCCATTACCTAAATCAAACTCAAACTAAAGCCCTCTATTTGATTTGGAAAACTGTCTGAGGTTCCTGAAAATAACTTGTTTTAAGCTACTTTAAGGTAAGATTTGGGGCGCCTGGGTGGTTCAGTCAGTTAAGCATCTGCCTTCGGCTCAGGTCATGATCCCAGGGTCCTGGGATCAAGCCCCTCATGGGGCTCCCTACTTGGTGGGGAGCCTGCTTCTCCCTCTCCTCCCCATTCATGCTCACTCGTCTCGCTCGTGCTCTCTGTCGCTATCTTTGTCTCTCTCTCTCTCTCAAATAAAATCTTTTAAAAAAAGATTTAAATGATTGCTAAAATACTCTCATTATGAGAATACTAGAAATTTTTTTAGTGTAATATTAAAATATTCCCCTATTCCACAAGTTTTATGGAAAGAAAACTTGTAATAAGTACTGTGTCTGTACACTGTAATGTGAAACACATTTTATGAGTTCAAATACAAGATTAAACCAATTATAATTCTGAACTAAATGTTCTATAATTTAGATGTTTTGTTTAATCTTAAAAACGTCTTTAGAGTATTTGATATTCTTTTAATTTGGAAGACTTAAAATGATAGATGTAGAATGTTTATCAAAGAAATTGACACCTACTCAAAAGAAGAAGCTATATAACCTTTTTCCTCCCAATAACGTTTTTGTGAGGAGGGAGGAATTTAGGTCTTTTTTCCTCTGACTTCTTCCACTGACATCTATAACACAGCAGGGGTGCAGGGTGAAAAGAGTCAGAGAAGGAAAACACAGAAATTTCTAAAAAAGAAAAGAAGACAAAACTGATTTTCCTCATGGTCTCCAAAGTAAGATATTGGAAGAAAAAACCCACTCTATTTCTATTCACTGTTAACTCACTTTCTGAATGTTTATCATTCTGTGATTCTTTTTAAATATAGGGAATACACTAGTACAGTTCATGTATATACAAAGCACTTAAAGAAGACCTAAACACATGGGGGTGCGTGGCTGGCTTAGCCAGTAGAGCATCTAACTCTTAATCTCGGGGTCATGAGTTCCAGCCCCACATTGAGGGAAGAGTTTACTTAAAAAAAAAAAAATAAAAAAATAAAAACCACTTCCCTCTAGATAAAATGCTCTCTTGTACAGATATAAAAAAAATTTTTTAAAGGCCTAAACACATGTAGAAAGATATCATATTCATAAATGAAAAACCTGAACATTATAAAGATAGTAATCCCCCCAAATTAATCTTTAAATTCAGTGTAATTTCAAACAAAATCCCCAGTGTCTTTTATGGAATTTGAAAAGCTGATCTGAAAATGTATATGAACGTGAATAGCAAGTCAAGTTTGAAGACTAAACTGGGAGGGAAGAGGGGAAGACTTGCTTGATCTACAGAATATCATTTAAAAATAAAGCTATAAAAAATAAAAATAAAGCTATAATAATTAAGACCCTGTGGTGTTAATGCAGATACATATATGAACATGGATATATCTTAAAAATATAATTTCAAAGAAAGAAAGCAAATTACAGAATAATATATATACCACATGCATTTTTCAGAGGTAAGTACATAAAATAAAAGCATAATAAACCTGGGTGTACATACCTACATATTAGGATAAATAGAAAGAAGATACTAGGGAGCAAAAAATAAGAATGAGCAGAAGTACAAAGAAGATTCAGTATGTAGAGATTTATGTCCTAAAAATTAAAAGTACCTGAAATTAGTGTGGTAAAACATTTAAAAATGTTAAGTTTAGATGATAGGCACATGGGTATTTATTACACTAACTTTTCTACTACTGTCTTTCATAATAAAACAATAAAGACCAAGAAAGAATTTATTTATATAGTTTATCAAGATGACAAAATGTTATTTCCAGAAATTCCTTCTGGAGGCAGCACTGTATTTTTTTTTTTAAGCTTGCTAAATATACTATGAAATGTGCTAGATGTTCTACTATAATAGACACATATTGCTTAGTCCTTTCAGTAATGGGATAAGATTCTAAACATACAAGTGAGGGAGTCAAAGCCAAAATTATAAAAAATATACTTTCAAAAACTGATAAAAACCCATTTCAGTAAACATCAAAAATAAAGCAAAGCAAATATGGCTATTAAGAAATTATTATCCCTTTAGAAATAATTTTAATCTTCCTTACAAGCTATCAAGAAATTCCCTTTAATGTTTTTAATTACCAGTGTATGTCTGAAAATAACCAGTCAAACTACAGCTCTTGGGTCACTGAAGGCCAAAACATAATTATGACTATATATATTTTTAATTATTTTTAAATTGTGTCAGGATAAGACTGATGATTGGAAATACACTGCTTTAATTTCAAGACAAAAAGTTCGAAATGTCTGTGTGTACCCATGTATATGTGGGTTTATGCATGAGTGTTTGTGTAACACTTAAAAAGCAAAATTGAGGAAAAATGTTAAGAATGATTTCAACTGTAAAATGTATATAAAAGCCAATTTTATTATACTTTAAGATTGCCTTAATTATTCTCTTTATTAAAAAATATTTTTTCCTGTTCCTATACAACAAAAATCTGTTCCACATATTTCAGTATAAAAATTCAATTTCAAACAGTTGTCTTCAAGTGCTGATAAGAATTGATTTGTATTAATGTCATTGGACTCTGGGGATTTCTTAATATCAAATGTATAGAGGCTGTCTTAGAACAAATAAAATGGGATGCCAATATACATTAAATAAAAGCCTACAGTTACATTACTTATACAGAGAAAATCATTTTTCTATTATGAGAAATATCTTCTCTGCATTTGGGGCAGATATACATTTCTGCATTTGGGGCATTTTTTTCTGCATTTCTGCAATATTTTCTATTGCAGATAAATAATAAATGTTATGATATCTTCAGAAAAAGATTAAGTGCCCTATATTTTCTTAGTGATGTGTGCTCAGAGCACCCTCTAGTGGGTGAGAAGAAGTAGACAAAAAGGGAGCTGAAAAAAATCAAATAAATTCACAGCCCTCATTGATTCACTCATTCACTAGCAGATATTATTTACTTCATCCTTAGTAAAAGGAAAGTACTGTGCTTAGGTGTTGTTCAGGACTTGGACAAGGGAATCAGCGAGGGGGAAACAGAAAGACCTATAAGAGCAGCATAAAGGGAATTAAATTGTGAAAGAATCTAAAATAAAACGTAAATCATTTTCATTCATAAGAACTCTATCTGTATTTTTTTACGATTTTATTTATTTTACTTGAGACAGAGAGAGAAAGAGAGCAGTCAAGCAGGGGGAAGGCAAAGGGAAAGGGAGAAACAGGGACCCCACTGAGGTCATGACCTGAGCTGAAAGCAGATGCTTAACCCACTGAGCCACCCAGGTGCCCCAAAACTCTACCTGTATTTTAAAAAGGCTTTGAATTGGCTTTATCATTACATTTATTTTCGAAATAAAGTAATCAATGTAGAGAAAATCAGGGAAAAGCATCAAAAATATATCTTCAACAGTCAATTTTCTCTTGATATGTTAGGTATGAAAACATGTACACACACACATAAAGGACAAGGAAGTTCAGTTATCACCTTCCTGGACCCTGACTTTAATCTAATTTATCAATTTGAGTTGGGTAGGCTTATTTGTGTGTGTGAGGAACTATTTCTTTCTCCAAGAACATTTATTTTACAAAGGGAAACTGGGCATAAAATTCAGATCTAAAACAACTGCAATTCACTTTTACTATTTTCTTCCTATAAGTAGGCCATATAACTTTCTATAAGTAGGCTGTATAACTCCCTAAAGGTAGGATGGAAGCTATTTGCAATAAAGAAAATCATTTCTTTATACTGCTTAAAAGGACTGGTTGTGGAAACAAACACTAGATTCAAATACTGGCTTCGCCCAAGTAGCCATGAAATTTTGGGCTGAACCTGTGACTGCTGTTTTCTCATTTGTAAAATAGGAATGGTGACAATACCAACTGCACAGGATAGTACTAAATATATATGATGTGCTTAACAAATGTTACTCTTATTATTGCTATTATTGATGCCACTTGTTGCTAGAAAAGATATCTGCAAATAAAAGAATTAAAAAAATAAAATAAAATATTCCCAATATTAATAATCAAGAAGTGTCATATCTGGACTTGTACCTAAAAAATAACTCAAAAGCAGTGAGCAAATTCTAATAAACTGTACAGGATAAACACACACAATTTATGATATATATTAAGAAGTGGATTGACAATTTCTTAAATTAATGAGTACAAAGTTGTAGGCTAGATTTTGAAAAATTAATAAAGCTTAACATTTAAGCTTACAAATATTTTATATGACTTCATACAATAAAATTTTTCCTTACTGTTTTTATAATAAAATTGTGTACAGCTTTAAAATATTCAGGAAAAGTTCTTTAATTTTATTTAAAAAGTTGTTCAAACCACTATAACTTAATGCATCTTCTAATAATTGTTTTTTTCTAATAATTTATTTTCAATATATTTTACAAATTAAAAATTAAAGAAAAAATAAATTTGGAGTTAATTTCTCGACCTCAAATATCATCTATAAATATGATTTACCCCACATTTATAAAAACAAAAAAAAGAGCAACATTTGCTACTCAACATCACCTTCAGAGACTTTGCCACTTGAACATGATTATCATAGACTAAAATGTCTACTGTCAGATTCTGCAGCCGATGGATATGACTTAAATCTCCTTCAAGTACAAGGTCTTGTATTAATACTCTCCAAGATGGGAATGGGGTCCTGGTGCCATCCCATACCTGCCATAATAGGGTAGAGTGAAGTTTAATGATCTTTCTGTGTAATTGCAGACACTTTTAAAAGAGTTCTATCTGCTGGTAATATAACTTAAAAGTAATTAAACATATTCCCCCAAATATCTGCTAAGCTTTAAACATGGTGTATATTCTGATTATAAAAGGACTACATAGATATAGGACATGTAGAAAATGTAAAGAAGAAAAAAATTCACACTACCTAGAAAAAAGTACTAACATATTTTAAAATTTATCTTTTTTACCATCTTATATATAAACCCTTACGACTATATTTGCTAATTTTCTTAAGTATAAATCCCTAACTTTTAGGAATGTATTCTAAACCTTGCTCATTTTTTCACTTTGTTCTAATTTGGAAAAGGCCTTTAAAAGTACAGATAGGAACATTCTGTTTATGTTAGAGGCTGTGAATACAAATGAATGAAAATCATGGGTGCTGGAAAAGGAAAAGATATATTGGATTGCTATGTAAGCTACATTGAGATAAGCAGGCATAGGACGAGGAAGTATGCACCATACCATCCTCAACATGTGAGCTAGTCTGTGCTGTGCTAGGCTTTTAAGAGACGGCTATGCTTTGCTATAAAAGGGCATGACAAAAGACATCTGGCATGAGGTAAGAATGCCTCTGTATGTAAGAAATTTGGCTGGACAAGAGAAACAGGCTCAATGAACAGAAAACACTGCATTTCTACAGAGAGGTTGTCTGCCAGGGTCAGTTTACAGAGGAAGTATTCAATAATGTTGGTGACTATGCCAAGTTTCAAATAAACAATCACTGAGTTTGGGTCACTCACTGTTGCCTAGATTATTCAAAGAACCAGCACAAACACTTTGGGAATAGTTACATTATATGTCCCACACGTTTTTCTCCACTTGGAATTTGTTCCTTCATTTCATGTATACTGTTTTTGTGACTTTAAAATAGCTTTATACATGAATCTACCATTTTTTGGGGGGAGGAGCTGAGAGAGTAGAGTGTTGCTACATTATTTTTATGCTTCAGTTTTAATCACTTACAACTCAGTCTCTCTTTTTTTTTTAATAAATTCTGGAACTTTTGTAATTTTTTATCAATACTTAATCTCTTAGGAATTTGTATGTAATATATAGATCTGATTTCTTTTTCCAAGTAGATAACAATCACCATTTAACAATCTGTCTTCATCAATTTGAAATGACAATGTTATTTTTATCATGAATATATTATATGTACAGTGTAAGATTGTTTCTGAGGTTCCTAATCTTTTCCATTGATCAGTCTTACTATAATCTTAATTACTGTAATTTCATAATATGCTTTGATATCTGATACAGAGGTCTCACTGAGTTTTCTTGTCAAGTTCTTCTTGTCTTATTCTTGATTATTTACTGTTTCTAATAAATTTCAGAATCATAGTCAATTTAGAAAATATGTGGCATTTTATTTTAAAACACTTTAAAAAAGAACCAAAAACCTTTTAACAGCCCTACTTTTCTTTTATGCTCCCGCTCTCCAGGTTTCTTCACAGAAGGTCAGGGATTCCTTGCCCGAACTGTCTCATTTTACAGTCTTTGTGACGTTGGAAGAACTTTTGTTCAATTATATGTTCTATTTATTTCTAATATGTAGCAAAGCTATATTTCACTAATGTTTAAACCAGTTATCTCACTAAATAATTTTATTAATCCAAGTAGCTTTTCAGTCCATTGTTTGGGTTTTTATAACTTGAGTACTGACCTTCTTTTTTTCTTTCTTTTAAAAGAGTTCTATCTGTCACTTTTTTTCTTATCTTAGTGAATTCTTGAGATTTCCTGAACAATGTAACAGAGAAAATAGGGGTATTTTTGTCTTGTTCCTGGCATTACTGACTTCAGAATTTTACCACTAATTATTTTTGATTAATTTATAGGAGAAATTGTTTATCAAGTTAAGAAGACATACTTCTAATTCTATTTTGCTAAACATTTTCACAGATATATTTAACATTCACAAAAAGGATTATAATTTTCCTTAAAATTAAACCATTTCTGATTTCTAAAAATAAATTGTGGATTACAGTATATTATTGTTTTAATATGTTATTGGTGTAGCATGTCTACAAAAATAATTAAAATAAATTAGTATCATAGTTACTAATATAGGAAACACTGGTATCAAATCCAAGCTGAGAAAGGAAATAATTATGCTACATTCCATGCTTTTCAGACCTCACTTGGAGTAATGTCTGGCTCCTTTTGTGTTTAAAACATAATTTAGAAAGTTATTTCTGGTATGTGATAGGAAAATCAATTTCAGAAAAAAAAAATCACTCAAAATTTGACTTCCCAGAGATAACATAAGTAAAATATTGCTATATATTCTTTTTAATGTACTTTCACTATGCATATATTTTAGTACATAAATAAAACTGCATTAATTGCCAAATAGAATATTATGAGTATCTTAATAACCATATCTACAATGTCATTTTATTGTAACAGAAGTATATCAATACTTCACACAATTCTGTTAGTAATGAGTGTTTCCAATTTTTGTTACTATAAGAAATAAAATATTCTTTTAAATGCATTTTTCCACATTTACAAAATAAATTTAGAAAATTTACAAAAATAAATTCACTTCTGAACGCTGTATTTTAAAATAACATCTAAATCAAAGCTGTTTTCACTTATCTGAAAAGGCTATCTATAAAAATGGAATGCATGCGTATGTTTTGTTGCTTTAGAGTGAATGTAGATTCAGCCATGTCAGCTAAAAGGTGGCAGATTTTATCTCAGAATTTAAGAATTTTCTAACATAGCAGTCAAAAGATCTACACTCATACTGTGCACAGACTACTTGTCATTGGAAGTATTTGGTTTTTAACAAATGCTCATCTGTTAAGGATGTCACTTTGGGCAAAAAGCATGACCGGCTGACTTAGGATTCCTTCTAATTTTGGATGATTTTACTTTGCTTTAACTTTAGCTGTCATACTTGACTTAAATTTTTTTACAGCATGCAATTACTTTTTTCGGAGTATGTCATGTGTATATAAACGTGCTACTTTCAACTTTAAACATTTCATCTTTTATTCAGGGACTTCTATCTTCCTCATTCCTTAATAAGGGCGAGGTATTAATGATAATAAAGCTAAACCCAATACTTGTGCCTCTGTACTCTGTTCCTTATCCTATTGTTTCAAAGAGTCAGAAGATAAAGAAATAACCATAGGAGCAGAGCTGAAGCAGTGTTTGTTTAAGTGTATTGTGCGTAGGATGGGCAGATGAGGATTAGTATCAGACAACTGTCTTTTTCTCTAGCTATTTGTGAGTAAATTGGGGTAGGTATAAACAAAGATTAGATGGGTCTTAAGTTACTTTTTAAAAGATCATGCTGATTTAGAAAGAAAACAGAACAGAACAAAAATAAACACTTCAAAACCATCTGTGATCTACCCAATCAAACAGGCAGTGAGATGACATGGGAAGAGAACCCAACATGAATGAGCCAAGAAAGTAAATGAGAAGGAAGGCTACCCTGACAGGGAAGCAGAAATATGCATATGTAGAAATGTAACTAAAATATAACATAGAAAACAACTTTATATTTTATTAATACTAAAATAAGAAATAAATAAAGCATAAACTATATCTAAACTATTGATAATACTATTTTTCTCTGGAAGTATAAAGAAGTTCAAGAGTAGAGTTGCATGAATATCTAAGTTCATCAAAAATGGTAAGTTAGATTTAAAGTTCTTATTATAATACACAGTATGCATATTTATCCCACCAGAATGAAATATAAGCTCTTTTTAGATATGTAGGTGGTGCTAATTTACAATTTCAAGTATTTAAAATACCTACCTTTAGAAGATATGATGCTCCATCCACTTCTGCTTTGCCCAAGAGCTGACAAGTCAGGTCAAAATACTGCAGTGGTTGAACATCACACAATTTTACTAATGTCGAAGAAGGTGAAATATGAGTAGATGCCCAAACACGTAAAGCTTCTACCATTTTGTGGTCCTCGGCAGTGAAGTTAAAATACTTGCTTGAGGTACGAGGTATGATAGGAGCTCCCAAAGTTCCCTCAAATGTCAAAGATGAAAAGCCAGAGCTGGTGATACCCTGAGTCTCCTTTTTATATACTTGGATCTAAGAAAGTTGGGCAAAGCAGAAAACAAAACAGCTTACTGACGCAAAACCCCAAAACTCAAGAAACTTGAAAGATTAGAAAGTCTTGCCAGCATAGTTCACAGAGGATATAATTATTTAATGTATTTTACTTAATTAGCACACAAAATTATAAAATCAATTTACAAAGGGAAAAACATAGTGACAATTACTTATGACCATTACAAGGAAAACTAGAACACTTAAAATACAAGACTTCAAAGTGAATAAAATGCAGTGAGGCTAAGATTTCATCAGTCTGAGAGCCAAGATAAGCCACAAAGACTCTGGCTTTTGAATTCTGAGGCTCGGCTAGTATATGCACGTGCATTACCATGGTTACATCCTCTTCATTAAGCAATCTTTTTGTACTTATGAAATGCCCCCCTTTTAATCCCCTGTAATACTCCATCTGATATTAATACAGTGTTTTCATTTTCCTTATGCTTCTTGTTTGCTTGGTGTATCTTTTCTACAGTTTTACTTACAACTTATTTGTGTCTTCATTTCTTGTAGGGAGTGATATTTGTTCTTGCTTTTTTATTCAGTCTATTTTTCCTTACAAAAGGAGTGTTTAGTAAAATTATTGATATGGTTATATTTAAGTCTATCTTATTTGTTTTCCTTCTGTATCCCCCTTTTTGTTTTTTAAAAATTGTTTTTCTACTGTTCCTTTCCTCTTATTTTGAACTTATTAGTATTCTGTTTACCTCCTCTGAGCTATGAAAGAATCCTTATCTCAAAGTCTATTTGCAATCAATATAGTTCTACTACATAATCCCTACTTTCCATATCATATTCCCCACTTGCCCATATCCCATTTTACACTTTCTACTCAAAGTGTAATAAACTCTGAAGGTATGTACTAACCTTTTGGGGGTTAATTCCACTTAACCATCCTAACCATCCTTTGTGTTATCGTTCATATTTTTCTACCTATTTTATAAACTCCATCTTCCTAAATGTTACTGTTTTTCTTTTAAACAGCCATTTATCTTTTAGTGAAATTATGGGAAGAAATACAAAACAGTATCTTTCACCATTTATTCACCATTTCCTTTTTGTTGTTGTTGTTTTTGGTCATTTCCTAACCATCTAGTTTCTGGTTGGTAGCATTCTTTTTTGTCTTGAACACCATCCTTTAGCATTTACTTAGAGCAAAGATATGCTGGTTGTGGATTCTCTCATTTTTGAAAAATATTTTCTCTGGATACAAAATTCCAGGTGAATCCATTTTCTATCACCACTTTAAATTTATCATTGCTTTGTTCCTCAAATGCCATTATTTCTGATAAGAAATCAAAGATGGCTGGTATTATGTTTCCTATATGGAATGTGTTATTTCTCTGCCAGCTCATTTCAAGTTCTTTTTTCAAATCTTTTTCAATGGTTTCACAGTGATTTGTTTAGGCATGCTGTTCTTTGTGGTGCCATGCATGGAGTGCACTGAGTTTCTAAAATCTTTAAGTCAATGTTTTCCATCAAATATGGAAAAATTCTGGTCATTTAAGTATTTTTGTTTCCCATTCACACAGTTTTCTTGTGCATTTCAAATGACACGTTTCACAATTTGATATTATTTCACAGGTCCCCAAGGCTCTGTCAATCTTTTGTTTACCCTTGTTCTTCAGATTAGATAATTTCTATTGATCTATGTTCAAGTAAAAATGATACAGCTAATCTATTTAGCCTATCCAGTAAATTTTTCATTAATAATAAAAATATTAACATATATATTCACTACATAAAAGATATGTATTAGACTGTTTATAGCAGGATAATATTCTCAAACTGAATGTCCCACAGAATATATAAATTCTGATGCATTCACACACTTACCAATGAAAATGAACAAAGTGAAACTATACGCAGTAATATAGCTGAATCACACAAGCATAAGCCATACATTAAAAAACAAAACCTATAGTCTATTCTCTTTAAAACAAATAGAACTGAGAGATATATATCCTACTTCAGTTAAAGAGCAAGAATAACAACTAAAAACATTAGGAGGGAAGAGTGCACTGTCTGAAACAATAGTGTGTGAGAAATAAGTTATTTTTTGAAGTTGGGATAAACTTGCTACTATGATAATATTTCTATTTCCTTTTTAACTTCACACAAATATTCTCTACTACTCTTCTATTCTCAGGGAAAGGCATTAGAGATCAAGAAAGGTAATTTCCACCAAAACTAAGGACAGAACATACCCAGAATATTGTGCTCGCTTATGAGCATCGCACTGACCATGAGGGACACATAAACTGAAGCATTAGAAGAAAAAGATAATGAAAGAGCTTCATGGAAACCCATCTAACAAGAGGAAAAGATGAAGGGTCGACTGAAATGCTTAAAACCTAAGGAATTGAAAATATTAAAGTACTCATTTTTTTAATTACATACTATTTAATAGTTTTACCTTCATATTAAAGGTTTCCTTACATTTAACTGTTTGACTGATAGCATAATTTGAAAGGTACCAAAATATCTGTTCATGTTTTAATACATTTTTCATAAATGAAATCAACTTACTTTGATTTTATACTTAATATCTCAATGCTTTCACTGTACTTAACACAACAGGGGAAAATAATATAACTTCTCAATTGTTATAGAATTACTTATAAAAAAGTAAAAAAGAAAAAAGAAAAAGCCCTGTTGGCCTAGGGCTTTTTTTTTTTTTTAACCCAGCTCTACATGGAAACCTTTAAAGCATCAATCTACATTCAGAAGTGAGAAGACAGAATGCAACCAGCAACTCGTCTTAATCATGGTATCTAATACACCTCTTGTGGAAGGAGCACAGTCAGTTTGTCCAAATGAAGAGATTTCCTAATATTAATTATTTGAGGTCTGGTATTATTTACATTTCTTCTTGTCTCTTGAAATGCTGGATGCCATGTTCTGCCACAGCAACCACATAATTAGGGCTAATTAGTATTAGTGAAAATACAGAGTTCTCTTCAAACAGATAGGAGTTCTGGACAATCCGAATTATACCTTCAGCCTATGAAAGCGAACAATATCTCCATTTTTATAAATTATTGGAAGTGCTTCATAATTTCCACTAAAGAGCAGGCAGGTTAACTTTACATTTGTCTGGTCCACAATTGTTACAACTGAGCAATAATCTGGAAAACACAAAAACATTTTACCTTTTAGTGTTTCAAAGCATTTGACAAAGTAAGAATATGGCTGAATTCAAAACACCAAACTCTTAACCTCTTTTAATTAAGCCTTCTGAGAACAGGATCAAAACACAGAGACAGTTTCCTGGCTCTCAAAATGCACTGCCAAATTATTCTCCAAGAGTGTTCCACAAAAATTAATTTTATAAAGTTTAGTAAAACAAAAATAAAATTCCTAATTAATATAAACTGTCTGGAGGGGTGGTAACTTTTTTATTACTTCAAAGTTTAGAAATCACAAAACAGATAAACATATTCAAATAAAATATAATATATAAAATGAACATAATTAAAATTAGGGTGAAAACAAAGACTAGAGATAGTTGAAGCAAATGTGATGAAGAGTCAATATACTACATAAAGATTCTATGAAAACTGCTTATAAAACCCAGGACTTCACAGTACCAATGAAATTCAAAGGAACAAACAATTCCTAAAAAATAGTATTAACAACAAACTCAAAAGAAAAAATGAGGATTTGCTAGTTTCTTATAGACGATTACACATTAGAACAAGAAACATATACACTTTAGCTGGCAAAAAAAATATAATAGTTGGGATGCTATAAAAATGAAAATTTCAAATACTGGTGGTAGTAAAAACTGTAACAGATACTGCCTTTTGATATGTATGTTTCAGAAAGTTGCACACTGAGAAAATGTGCTGCCGTCCAGTCCTACCCAGCACCCTAGTAATTACAATATCAAGATAGAAAAGTATAAACCCAGAACAGTGAAGGAAGAGAGGAGAGGGGAGTGAAGGAGCAGGGGAGAAGACAGCAATATGTTTCGGGAAGATGGGAAGACAAAGGGTTAGGGATAAAACGAACAGGAGAGGCAATCCAGAAGACAGTATATATAAAGTAACTACAATGAAGATGGGAGTCACTGGGCTTAAGGGTGTCAGTGAAAAGCAGAGTCAAAATCAAGGTTAATTAAAAGTTTACACATAAAACAACTGTTTCAATAACCATCCATCCTGACCTCTACTGCCCAGGAAAATGATTTCAGGTTGGGAGGCAGAGTATTTAAACCAACCACTTCAGGAACACAGGCTATTTCCAAGGACATTTCACTGATGAACCAGGAAGTACTAAGGCTTCCAGTGTGGGGTTACCACCCAGAAGAAATCCCTCTGCATTATCACATCAGGGGGCCTACAGCCAGATGGGCTGTTCTCTTTTCACCCACCATACAGTGACACTGTCAATCAATGTGCCCTATGAAAATTCTATTTGTCTCTCAGATTTCCCATTCAAGAGGAGATCAAATAGGAAAAACAATCTTGAAAAAGCACAAAGCTGGAGGTATCACAATCTCAGACTTCAAGATGTACTACAAAGCTGTAATAATCCAAAAAGTATGGAAAAACAAAGTACTTCTACACAAGCAAACAAGATGAGAGTCTATAACCTAAAATAAACCATACCTACATTTTTAAATATAAAAGACAGTAAACAATCACCAGATATACAGCAAAAATGGAAGGAAGGAAGGAAGGAAATGGAAAGAGGGGGAGCAGCAGAGAGCAGGAGTGGAAGCACAGGGAAAAGGAATGGGGAGGAAGGGAGAAAGGTGGGGTGAAGGAAGGAGGGAGGAAAAGAAATCTGATTCTGTGACGAAGGGGAAATAATTTAGAGAACGTTAAAAAAAACTCAAAAATAAAATCAAAACCTTGGTAAGCATCTTCAAAGAGTAAACAGTATGACATTCTCATTTCTTAATACATCAGCAGGATCCACTGGAACCAAATTTATACTGCGTTTCCTTTTTCAGTAGCTCTGTTTGGGAGGGTACTGTTTCATGACATTTTTTTTTTTCTCTTAGCAGCCTTACAAAATATCAAAGATCAATTTTACTTATATTTAACAGAATGACATTTTTTTTTTTTGCAATTATCATATGGCTCTATTGCCCCTTCTATATAAGTCTATGATGCATTATGGAATCTTAATCATCTATATTCCTGCACCTTGTTTTTGTTTCCAAAAAATGACTTGGTGGACTGCAAAGGACGCCAGGGGACACAGAGAATAGGTCCACTATCTACAGGGTCTTTATAGGGCCACCGCTAGCTCTTGCCGTGCTTTCCTGCAAATCAGAAAAAGCCTCTCCTTTTTCAAATAGAAATACTGCACAACCTGAACAGCTTTCCAGAAGTTTACTGAGCCCGAGAGAGTAGCAAGCAGTCTTAGCTGCACACACACATTCATCTTCATTCTGGCCTTTTCTTAAAAACCAGCAGAAAGAGGGACACGTACGCCACTTGCAAGGCACACATTCCTTTCCTTCTCCAGGCCCTTCCCTTCCCCATGCCCCCAGGAGTATCTATGTCACATTCAGAGTTAGGGTGGTTAAAGTCTGTGTCAGGTTCAGAGATGGGGTGGGAATGGACTTCCGAGAGACAAAAGCAACCTCAGGGGATGCCCGAAGAGCAGCATAAGAGGTATGTGTGTGCCAAGTAAGTGCCAAGTAAGTGGGTAAATGTGACGGCTCCATGTGCTGTCCAGATTTGTGTAGAAGAGAGCATTCCCCAGCTGCATCAGGACTTGACTGACAAGCCTGAAATCGCCACACTTGCATGTTTTCATATAAGTGACTCTATGTGGATGCAAATGGCATCTCCTTACATGGAGCATATTTGTACACCATTTATCTGAGCTATCATATGCTAAGTCCCTGTTCCTTACTTTTTCTCTTGGCTTATATTTTCTCTTGTGAAAGTATCATCCACGACTTTTAGCAAGTTTAAGCCAAAGAGACTCACCATGAGTTCAAATCCTTTAATATAATAAGATGTTATTAAAAAAGAAAGAAGGAAACAAAAATTCAGATTCAAGAAAAGGGCATTAAAAAAACAAAACAAAACAAAAAAAACCTGTCCAGGGGCACCTGGTTGCGTCCAACTCTTGATTTTGGCTCAGATCGTCATCTTGGGGTCTTGAGATTGAGCCCCAGGTCAGGATCTGTGCTCAGCAGGAAGTATGCTTGGGATACTCTCCCTCTGCACCCACCCTCCCGCTCACAGATGCAGGCTCTCTCTCTCTCAAATAAATAAAATCTAAAAAAAAAAAAAAAATCTGTCCAATAATTTGCTCTCAATAACAAAAACAAATACAATCTAAATGAAATATTAAATAGTTTTCAGGTTCTTTCAATTAGCATGATTCATGACCAGAAACCAAACTACCTATTTTAACGAGTACTAATGAGGCAAACTGCTAAATGTTTATTTTACTGCTTCAAGGAAGTGAAGTGTCTTACCAAATAAATAATCCATCAAAAATGGCTACATCAAATAATAAAAATACTTACTTTCCCAATGCCTCATTTTAACTCATTCCCAAATGGAGGAAAAATAACTTGTGAAATTACAACTTACAACTTCATATTTCAATAATGAAGTTACAAAACTAAAAGATAATAGTCCATTTTCTTGATAGCTAACACCAGCAGGAAAGGTCTGAAGAGTAGAAAGAGCTTTCATAAATCAGTATTCTTACCTTGTCTACCTAAATAGTACACTTAGGTGCTAGTGTAATATAAAAATAAATATAAATTACTTAAAATATATTTTAAGATACTAAAATAGATATTTAAGCTTGATAAAGTCTTGACTTTATACTTTAGAGTAAGACTTCATATGTAAACTGCTGACAAAGTATTTACTTTAACTCTTAACTTCATGTAACCTGATATAAACCTGGAAAAAATAACAAATGGTAAATTAAGTCCTATATTCTGCAATCTTGAGTAATTCACCTAATTTCATCAGCATGATTAAGTGTAAATTGCCTTGGAGTTTTATACGGGAAAGCTGGTAATTCATCTAATCAAAGAAGCAAGCATGTATAAATTATACAATCCATAAAAAAATTCCTCCATGAAAGTTGTTTCACCTCCTTTTTATCTACTATAGCACTGTTTATAAACCAATCAGTATTTCAGTAAGTTTCCATCTGTATAAAAGTTTATTACTGAAACACCCAAGTAAAAGTTATGAAAGCAAATCACTGAATCAAGGCAATATTATATACTACAATCTTACTAATTTTACAAGGAAACTTTACTACATATAGTAGCACTTGCTTTATTATGCTGGTGTGAAATTACATAGATTTCCCCTTATGTTTTAATTATATTTAAAAAGGTAATGAAAGGAAGGAAAAGAGAAGAAAGCATAATTATGTTAGAGATATACATACTAACACACACACACATGCATATATATATATTATATATTAAACACAGATAGAGGGGTGCCTGCATAGCTGAGTCAGTTAAATGTCTGACTAGTGATTTTGGCTCCGGTCATGATCTCATGGGTTCTGAGATCGAGCCCCGCATCCAGCTCCGCGCTCAGAGGGGAGTCTGCTTAAGATCTCTCCCTCTGCCCCTCCCCGCACTTGCGCTCACATTCTCTCTCTCAAATAAATAAATAAATAAGTAAATCTTAAAAAAAAAAAAACAAAACCCACAGAATAGATAGGTATGTAGGCTAATATTCTGTGAGTTCATAAATGTTATTCTGGAGTTTTACATTTTACTTCAAGTACTGAGCAACCACAGTAAATGGTATTCCTAGGTATAAGGATTTATACTAATACTTAGCAATGGTCTCTATCTTCACAGAGTTTGTATTAAAAATAAGAAAGACAAAACAATTAGAATAATTTTTTAAATAACTATAAAAGTATATTGATATTCAGCAATAAAAATGAGTATGTGCTACAACATGAATGAACCTCAAAATCATTATGTTAAGTGAAAGAAGCCAGAAGCAAAGACCACATGCTGTATGAGTCTCTCTATATGAAGTATCCAGAAGGGGATAGAGACAGAAAGCAAATTAGTATGAATATTGCAGATGCATGCAACACATTCCTGTAAGTCTTAAAAAATACTGAAATGATAAATGAAGAACTAAAAACCTGAGCTTAACAA